TCTTACCAAAATGCAGCACCTCACATTTATTTAAATTAAAGTCTATGTGCCACTCCTCAGCCCTTTGGCCTATCTGATCAAAGTTATTTTTATAGAATCCCTACAGTGTGGAAACAGGCCATTTGGCCCATTGACTCCACATTGACCCTCCAATGGGCATCCTATTCAGACCCAGTCCCCAACTCTATCCCTGTAACCCTGCATTTCCCATGGCTAACACATCTAACTTATACACCCCTGAACACTATGTGTAATTTAGCATGGCCAATCGACTTGAGGTAACCTTCTTCACCACTGCTACACCAGGTTTTGCTCCAGCACTGTTTGTGAGTTTGCAGCTTTCATATGGTCAATGTGCTTATTTAGGACCTTCGCACATGCCCAAACTTTATATGTCACCCCCAAAGAGATTTTGGGGTGTTGGTTCATAGTTCCTAGAAAGTGGAATCACAGGTAGACAGCATAGTGAAGAAGGCATTTGGTACACTTGCCTTTATTGGTTAGTGCATTGAGTATAGAAATTGGGAGGTCATGTTGTGGCTGTACTGGACATTGGTTGGTCCACTTTTGGAATACTGTGTTCAGTTCTGGTCTCCCTGCTTTAGGAAGCATGTTGTGAAACTTGAAAGAGTTCAGAAAAGATTTACAAGGACGTTGCCAGGGTTGGAGGTTTTGAGCTATAGGCAAGAGATTGGTGAAGACAAATGTTAATCTCCTACAGACAGAAGCGGGGGAATGTATAAAAGTGGACAAAGAAAAGTGCTGAGAAAGTGAGTACATATTTTAGTTCTGTCTTCACAAAACAGGACACAAATCAGATACTAGAAATATTGGAGAATGCAAGATTTAGTGAGAGGGTAGAGCTGAGGGAGATCAATATTAGTAAAGAAATGGTGCTGGGAAAATTGTTGGGATTGAAAGCTGATAAATCCCAAAGACCTGATAATCTACATCCAAGACTACTTAAGGAAGTAGCTCTAGAAATAGTGGATGCATTGGTGGTCATCTTCCAGGATTCTGTAGACTCTGGAACAATCCCTGCAGATTGGAGAGTGGCTAATGTCACTCCAATATTCAAAAAGGGAAGTAGAGAGAAAACAGGGAATTATAGACTGGTAAGCCTAATATTGGTCGTGGGGAAAATTCTCAAATCCATATCAAGGACTTTATAGCAGAGCATTTAGGAAGCACTGGCAGGATCAAATAAAGTTAGCTTGGATTTATGAAGGGGAATATTGCTTGACAAATCTGTTGGAATTCTGTGAAGATGTAACTAGTAGAGTTGACAAGGAGGAGCCAGTCGATGTGGTTTATTTGGACTTTCAGAGAAGCATTTGACAAAGTCCTGCATAAGAGATTACCGTGCAAGATTAAAACGCATGGGATTTGAGGAATTGTATTAAGATGGATAGAAAACTGGTTGGCAGAGAGGGAAAAAAATAGTATAAATTAATGGAACAAAAACAGAAGTTGCTGGAAAATCTCAGCAGGTCTGACCATTCTCCGAAATGTTAACTCTGATTTTTTCTTCACAGATGCTGCTAGACCTGCTGAGCTTTTCCAGAAACTTCTGTTTTTCTTCCTGATTTACAGCATCTGCAGTTCTTTTGGTTTATATGTAGAAATTAATGGGTCCTTTTCAAATTGGCAGGCAATAACTAGTGGGTATCACAGGGATCGGTGCTGGGACCCCAGCTATTCACAATATATATTAATGATTTGGATGAGGGAACCAAGTTGTGTTGGGGGGTGAACTGTGACGAGGATGCAGAGATCCTTCAGCATGATCTGGACAGGTTGGATGAGTGGGCAAAATAATGGCAGATGCAGTATAATTTGGATAAATGTAAAGTTATTAACTTTGGAAGCAAAAACAAGAAGGCAGACTAATACCTGACAGGCTGCAAACTGGGAGAGGGGAGTCCTTGTGTACCAGTTGCTGAAGGTAAGCTGCAGGTGCAGCAGGTGGTAAAGAAGGTAAATGGTATGTTGGTCTTCATTGCGAGAGGTTTTGAGTACAGGGGCAGGGATGTGTTGGTGCAGTTGTACAAGGCCTTGGTGAGGCCACACCTAGAATATTGTGTGCAGTTTTGGTCTCCTTTTCTGAGGAAGGATGTTCTTGCTCTCGAGGGAGTGCAGCGAAGGTTTACCAGGCTGATTCCGGGGATGGCGAGTCTGACATATGAGGAGAGATTGAATAGGTTAGGATTGTTTTCACTGGAGTTCAGACGAATCAGGGGGGAATCTCATAGAGATTTATAAAATTCTAACAGGACTGGACAGGGTAGATGCAGGGAGGATGTTCCCGATGGTGGGTGTGTCCAGAACTAGGGGTCACAGTCTGAGGATTTGGGGTAGACCAATAAGGATGAAGAGACATTTCTTCACCCAAAGAGTGGTGAGCCTGTGAAATTCATTACCACAGGAAATAGTTGATGCCAAAACATTGAATGTATTAAAGAATTGGCTAGATATAGCACTTGAGATGAATCGGATCAAAAGTTATGGGGAGAAAGCAGGATTAGGCTGTTGAGTTGGACAATCAGCCGTGATTTGTGATGAATGGTAGAGTGGGCTCGAAGGGCCAAATGGCCACTTCTTGCTCCTATCTTCTATGTTTCTATGCTTACTACATATTACACACCATCCATATCAGCACAGAGATGGAGGAACCTGATCCAGTGCTAAAAGGCCCCAGGAGGAGTTACAAAAGAATGAACCAGGCTATATCCTCAGACTCAGACATGGAGGGATGTAGTGATTGTAACGAGGTCAGCCAGGTGGATCTCATAGAATATGAGTTCCCTGTTTGGGGCTGTTAATCTGGTCCACTCAGGGAGCCCTGGCTGACAGATATAAACAGGAGTGTCAGACATCCTGTGCACTCTGAGAGCTGGTTCTGAAGAAGCTGGATCAGTGTCATGGACTCTCCACATGTAAATAAAGGGTGACTGCGTGATGGCGTACTGGCCTCTGTGAAGTTATTTCAGGAAAATGTGAAGAAGACGTTTCCACTCATGCAGGAATCAGAACTGGGGACATGGCTATGAAATAAGGGGAAGCTAATTTAAAACTGAGATGCAGGGGAATTTCTTCTCCCAGAGAGTAGCAAATGTCTGGATTCTCCATCTCAGAAAGTTGCATAGGCCAGATCACAGAAAATATTTAAACAGGAGGTAAAGTGGTTTTTTTCTAAAATATCATGGAGTTGAGATATATGAAGAAATGGCAGGAAAGATGATTGAAGCCAGAGACAGATCAGTCGTAATTGTACAGAATGCGGGCTCGAGGGGCAGAATAGCCCACTGCTGCTCCTATTTCTTATGTTCCCACATTCTTCAGAAAATAAATCTGTCATTTTCACTTTGCAACTTCAACAGACCAGCCAAAGACAATCTGTTGGAATTAAGCCAAGTAGCAAACATCAATTCAGACAGTGTAGCCATAACAGCAGACTGCCTTCTGAGCAGCAGGCTTTTATTTATTGCTCTCAGTCTTCATCTTTTGTGAGTGCAAAGGAGCATAAATTATTTTCAATCTACAAAACTCTGGTTATAACATCGTCTGGAGTGCTGCCTTCAGGCACAATACCTTAAGAATGATAATTAGTGAAGTCTGCACGTCGCTCGCACCTTAGGAACTGCAATACAGGCTTTTTCCTTCTTTCAAAATGGTTATTGAATATAGTATAATGATGTTTAATAAAATTTGAAGTTTCTTGCCTTGTGGCCGATAAAGCACTCTAACCCTCGGATGTAGTATTCCAAGCATCCAGTCCTGCAGATAGAGCAATTTCTATGCTTCAGTGCATTCTGGGTAAAGTGTCTTCCATTCCAAGACGCCTACTTCTTCCAGAAAACTGACATTTGTTTCACAATAACTGGCAAAGACCAATATCATGAGGAGTGCAGGCAGCAAGGAAGCAAATTTCAAGGGAAGACAATGCTGATCTGAACAGAGTGAAAGGATTTCTTGCATTGGAAGCTGCCTGTAGTTCACAGGTTTCCATGTCTAGAGTTGAGAGTGCCTCTGACATATTTTTCATGCATAGTGTTGGGTACATTTGTGCAGGTCTCTGTTTAAATTGTTTTCATTGTACTAGCTTTGGAGTGGGTGTAGTGCAGATTCATCAAAATGTATCTGCACATGAAGGGGTTAGATTACATGAGAGACTTTGCTGAGGATAGGAGTATATTTCCATGTGTTTCAGCAATCGAGGGATGATCCAGTGCAAGCATTTCGATAAATGGAGGGAGACAATGACTTAGTGGTATTGTCAATGGACAGATGGTGGAATTTGAATTCGATAAGTATCTGGAATTAAGAGTTTAATGATGACCATGAACCCATTGCCGATTATCAGGGAAATCCCATCTGGTTCACTAATGCTCTTTAGGGAAGGAAGCTGCTATCCTTACGTGGTCTGGTCTATATGTGACTCCAGAGCCACAGCAAGGTGGTTGACTCTTAACTGCCCTCTGGGTAATTAGGGATGGGCAATAAATGCTGCCTGGCCAGCGACACTCTCATCCTGTGAATGAATGAAGTGGGGTAAAGAAAACTAAATCAGGTACAGTAGAAAGAGAATAATTGTTTCCTCAGCTGAGGAGAGTCCAAAACAAGGGGACAGTGCCTTAAAATTCACGCTGGATTATTTAGGGAGCACATCCTCACAGAAAGGAGAGTGGAAATCTGGAGCATACTGCCTCAGAAAGGCTGCTGAGAGTGTGGTCAGTTGAAATTTTCAAGCTGAAATTGCCAGATTTTTGGCAGATAATGTGGTTAATGGGTACAGGCCAAGGTGATTGGGTGGAGTTAAAGATATAGATTAGCTATACAACTAATTAAGGGGGCCATGATGTGGAGATGTCAGTGCTGTACAGGGTAGACAAAGTCAGAAGTCACATGACACCTGACAGAGGAGCAGGTTCTGAGGGGCTGGATAACCTCATCCTGCATCTTGTTATTCATTTTATATTAATATTTGTTTGTGGTTCTAGAGTAATCTCATTGGAGATATAGGCACACCGTCACTCACCATCCTTGCTCAAGCAAAAAGGACTGATGGCAAACAGCAAGGGTATCAGCTCACAGGATCAATGGAAAGTTCAGATGGCAGGCCTAGAATACATCTACGAGTTGTTGAACTGAAGGAAGACAGCAACTGGAAAATGTGTGCTGATGCTGTAATCCTGAAAGCACACAAAGCATTGGTAATGTAAAAATCATCAAATGGTAAATCACAGAAGGAGATCATTTGGTCCATTGTGCCTCTGCCAGCTATTTGAAAGAGCTCTGCAATTTGTCACACCTTCTCCTGTCTTCTCCCCATTGCCTCTGAAAATGTTTTGCTTCTCACACCTTTACAGGAATCCCTTTTGGGAAAAAAAAATCTATTTGAATCTTATTCCACTGACTGGATAGGTAACACACCCAGGTCACAACAACACATTGTTAAAACAAATGATCCACATTTCCAGCCTCCTCAACACAGCATTCCGTGGAGCGGAGCAAGCACAGACAGTGCTGGAGAAACTCAGCATGTCTGGCTGCAGCTTTGGAGAGAGAAATGCAGTTAATGTTTCAGATCCAATTCAACTCTTTTTCAAAGCTTTCATCCATTTCTTCAGTTCTGAAGAAGAGTGAAACCAGATTCAAAATGTTTGTGTCTCTACAAAGGCTGCCAGACCTGCTGAGTTTCTTCAGCATTCTCTGTTTTTGTTTCAATTTTCCAACAACCACAGGATTCTGCTGCTGCTAACCTGTTGTGTGAGACAGGCAGAGTGGATCACAAGGTCTTAAATCCAGGTCCTCTAGTTGCCAGCCCTCCTGCTCGCAGGATGGTTTCTCTTAATGTGTTTTCATCAAAACCTGTTTCTAATCCATTAAAATGTAGACATCTTCCATACACTCTCTCTGAAGCACTCTACAGATATTCAGATGGAAATTCTGCTCTTTCTTGCATGATTGTTTGTCACAGGCTTGGCAGAGACATCAGGAATTGGAGTGGAGACGAGGTACATTCCAAGATGGATGTTTTGTCGCTCTCCACATGTTGATGTTGTTCCTGCCTGTAAGGTTGAGCCCCCAGCAGAGACAATGCCATCTAGCTCATCTAACTCAGTTCTGAGGAAGGGTCACTGGACCCAAAACGTTAACTCTGTTTTCTCCTTCACAGATACTGCCAGATCTGCTGAGCTTTTCCAGCAACTTTGCTTTTGTGGCCATCTAGCTCACCCTGGTCTATGTCAAGGAAGTTCCATTAACCCAAGATGGAGACCTGCCTGCTTGAAACCTACAGACATTGGACAGACTCTCAGGCCTCCAACCAGACTGGATGTGATGTCCCCTCATCATTTGGGGGAGGAAGGGTGGGGAGCACCCTTTCTGATGCAAGTCAGACGCACAGGTTAGATAAACACATGAACAGGCAGGGATCAGAGGGATACATATGTGCAGGCAGATGGGATTAGTTTAGAATGGCATCATGGTTGGCACAGAAATGTGGGCTGAAGGGCCTGTTCCTGTGCTATGCTGTTCTATGTTCTATGTTCATATCTCACTGAGTGTGACAATGTCTTTTTAAATTTCCTAGTTAATGTTCAGATGGGGTGAAGATTGCCAGAAGTTTAAAATATCTTATGAGGCATCATTGGGACATCTTGCAGACCATCCAGCTATGAAAATTAAAATTCAGTGGTCAGAAATTCCTGCTGCAATGATATCTGGTGGAAGGGTGTAAGTGGTGTGTTATATATTGTCTTACTTTCCTGCTTTCCATTTGCACTATCTATAAAATTAAGGTAATGATCTTTTACACCAGGATCGGATCTGGACTTGCTTTTCTATTGGGATTTTCCAATAAATTCAAAAGTAATCCTTCTCATCAGATCACGCAACTGATAGCCCTAACATCACCATGGACCATCGATACAATTGTTAAACTACCCAGGGTATGACAATCTTTATTTAATTTTATCAAACAGTGCTTCAATTCACTTGGTCTTAATTTGAGAGTTGTTACATCTTTATAACAGTGAATCTCGTTGTTTTGTTGCCAGTTAACAATCTATTACCAAGGCTTCGAGCTTCCATTGCCACTGCATGTTCAACCAATGACCCCAGTCATTCGGACGAAAGGGTTTAAAAGCATCAGTGAAATACCACAGCTGCTACTGACGATGAACCAACGTAATTATTATATCTACCGTGAACTTTCTGCATGCTTCAGATTTCACCTGATCTGTGCTCTTAATTAAGATGTTTCCATAATCAACCTGTTCAGAGATGTTGTTGCAAACTGGAGTAGAATTGAACTAAGGCCTCCTGGCTCAGAGGTGGAGACACTACCACTGCACCACAAGAATCTCAACTGAGCGGCTTGCTAGGCTATTTTTGAGGGGGCACATTGGATTCAACCACATTGCTGTGGATCTAGAGTCAGTTAGGACAGCAGTTACCTTCCCTAAACAGCATTGGTGAACCAAATGGGATTTCCCTCACAATCAGTTCACAATCATCATTAGACTCTTGATTCCAGACTTTTATTGAATTCAAATTCCACCATCTGCCGTGCTGGGATTTGAACCTGGGTCCCCAGAACATTAGCTGCGTCTCTAGATTAACCACTAGGCCTCCCCTTTCTAATCTTATTTTATTATTAAGGAGGTCAATATGTTGGGAGCTGGTTAGCTCATTTGGCTAGTTGGATAGAGTCGAGTGTGATGCAGAATTAAACCAATGGCATGGGCTCAATTCATGTACTGATTTGGCAGTTTGCTTGAAATTCAGCTTATCCCACACTTGTGGATTGTTGATCCTGAATCTACACATAACCAAACAGACAAGATGCCCATCCACCTATATGAATGATGATTGCAAGAAGAAATATAATTTTATGTTGAAAAAGCCACAAAGAAAAGTATTACTCACCATTGTTCATGCTGTCATGTGTTGATTGAGGAAAAGGTACTTGGAGAATCAAAGAGTTAGCTCAATAATGTCACTTGTCCAAGTGAAGAGAATTCTTTCAAGGAAGCACAGCTCATGAGATTCTATAATTTCGATAAGGTGTCATATGTAAATGTGGCTTCTCCAATGGGAGTGGGGGTGGTTGAATTAAAGCCTGCTCTTTTCTTCTTTAGAACATCTAATGTTTCTGCAAATTTGAAGTGCGACAGTGGTTTACAGAAATGAAAGGCTAGATTTTTCATGTTATGTTAATGCGCAAGAGCAATTTGCGTCTGTAGCATCTGTCAAATATGTAAAAGTGACAATAACAAGAGGGCCTAGATTTAAAGTGATACGCAAGTGAAGGAAAGGAGATGTGAGATATAAAAAGATATCATTCAGTGATTAATTTTGGTCTGGAATGCACTGACTGGAAAATATGGTCGGGGCCGGTTCAATTGAGACATTCAAGAGGGAATTGGATGGTTTTAGGATAGAAATGGTGTGCAGGGACATGGGGAAAAGGTGGGAAATTGGCCCTAGTAATAGAACTAGGATACACCTGATGGGCTGAATGGCTTCCTTCTGCACTGTAACAATTCTGTGAATCTAAAACTATTTGAAGCATCTTAAGAGAGAGTAGGAACTGCAGATGCTGGAGAATCCGAGACAACAAGGTGCAGGGCTGGATGAACACAGCAGGCCAAGCAGCGTCATAGGAGCAGAGAGGCTGACGTTTCGGGCCTAGACCCTTCATCAGAAAAAGCATCTTAAGAGCCTTTTGAATTGAATATCAGTGAAGTTGCATTCAAATTATATAGAACTCTGCCTGAACCATATTGAATGCACAGATCTTACCATCATACTTCAGAAGGATTATGGAATGAGAAGATGCAAAAAAAAACGTTTACACCATCAACCTTGGTAACTTCACACTCGGAGTACTGTATATAATTCTGGTCTCCATGTTCCATAAAAGATATCACAGCAAATAATTTCTGAAGAAGGGATTTCCGAAGAAGGGTCTAGGCCCAAAACGTCAGCCTTCCTGCTCCTCTGATGCTGCTTGGCCTGCTGTGTTCATCCAGCTCTACACCTTGTTATCACAGCAAATAAGGTTTATGACAATGATACTGCAACAGAGAGGTTGTAACATTCAGACAAACTAGCACACAGATGCAGCAGGGAATCAGGAAGGCTAATGGAATGTTGGCCCTTATTTCAGGGGGTTGGAGTGTAAGAGTAGGGAACCTTACTGCAACTGGACACGGTGCTGCTGAGATCACATCTGGAGTACTGTGTGCAGTTTTATCCCCACATGAAAGAAAAGACATCATTTCAATAATGGCAGTTCAGAGAATATTCACTAGGATGATCCCTGCTATAAAGGGGCTGTCTTAGATGCAAAGAATAAACAGAATAAAAATTGAAAGAACTGCAGATGCTGTAAATCAGAAACAAAAATAGAGATTGCTGGAAAAGCTCAGCAGGTCTGGCAACATCTGTGTGACCCTTTCTCAGAAAGGCTAAACAGGTTGGGACTGTACTCACTGAAGTTTAGAAGAATGAGAGATGATCTAATTGTAATATATAGGATTTTTAAGTGTTTTGAAAGGGAGCATGCTGAGAGGATGTTTCCCCTTATGGTAGAGAATGGGACAAGAGGGTATGGTCTCAGAGAAGAGGGGTAGCATTTTAAGACTGAAATGAGAAGGAATTTCTTCTCTCAGAGGGTTCTGAGTCTTGGAAACTCTTTGTCACAGAGAGATGTGGGGGCAGAGTCCTTGTGTATATTTAAGGCTGAGATAGATAGATTCTTAATCAGTCGGTGAATCGAAGGTTATGGAGAAAGGACAGGAAAGTGGTAAAGAGTGTTGGATCAACCATGATCCTATTAAATGGCAGAGCAAGCTTGAGGGGCCCAATGGCTTACTGCTGTTCCTATTACCGATGGTCTTTATGGTCTTAAAGGGTTGATCATACTGGAGCACTCACCTCCATAAGGGAGAAGGTTAAGAAGTGAACTGGCAGAAGTTTCTAAAATAATGGTAGGCACACCATCTATCACCTTAAACATTCACATACTTCCTAACATTAACACACAGTGATAACATTGTGCACTACCTACAAGTTCCACTGCAGTAATCTGTCAAGGCTCCAGTGACAATATCTTCCACAGACATGACTTATACCGACTAGAGGAATGAGGGCAACAGATTCCTGTTTATTCCACACCACATGCCTACATCCCACCCAAATGGCATATTTGTGCTATCACTAGACCAGTATCAAGTGGCTCAGTCTAATGCTCTGAAGACATGGGTTCAAGTCCCACTATGGCAAAGCAATTAATATGTAAATGTGGGATTAAGGATAGGGTGGGGGGCTGGGTCTGGGTGGGATGGTCTTCAGAGGGTCAGTGCAGACTCAATGGGCTGAGTGCTCCTTTTTCACATTCTATAACTTAGCCAAATCCCAGTAATAGCAATAGTGTTAAATTGTGCCAATGATAGTACATGATCTGTTTGCTAGCAGCTCTATTACTTGTAAACTTGACAGTAATGGCAAGAGTTTTATTAAATTGATTAAATTGCAAGAGTCATACAGCATAGAAACAGATGTTCAGTCCAACTCGACCATGCCAACCAGCTTGCCTAAATTATACCAGTCCCATTTGCTTGTGTTTGGCCCATATCCCTCCAAACCTTTCCTATCCTTGTTCCTGTCCAAATGTCTTTTAAATGTTCTAATTGCACCTGCCCCCACCATTTCTTCTGGCAGCTTGTTCCATATACGCACCAAACTCTGTGTGAAACAGTTACCCCTCAGGTCTCTTTTAATTCCTTCCCCTCTCACTTTAAAGCTACATCCTGTAGATTTGGATTCTCCTACCTTGGCTAGTCACTTCATCTATGCCCCTCATGATTTTATAAACCTCTATAAGGTCACCCCTCAGCCTCCTACACTCCAGGAAAAAAAAGTCCCAGCCTATCCAGCCTCTTTTGAATTGAATGCACAGATGGAATTCTTTACCACAGAGGATTGTTGAGGTTGGGTTATTAAGTATATTCAAGGCTGAGAGAGACAGATTTTTAATTAGTCAGGGAATCAAGGGTGGTAGGGAAATGGCAGGATGGTGGAGTTAAGGATTATCAGATCGTCCATAATCTTATTGAATGGCGGAGCAGATTTGATGGGCTGAATGGCCTACTTCAAACTCTATGTTTTCTTGTCTAAAGAAAAGGCAATGGAATTATTGGTCAAATCTGCCAGGAGCTTAGGGATACAATTTTCTGGAGACCAACTTTTCTATAATTTTCATTTCTGCAGGAGAATGTATTTCAGAGGGTGAGCGAGTTGTTACATTCGATGGCAATGAATTAAAACACACAATACTTAATGATTGCTACTACATCCTGGCCAAAGATTGTTCACCTACTCCAAAATTTGTTCTCTTAATGCGGCGCGCTGTCAATCAGCAAAAGAAGAAGGCAATAAAGCTGCTCATATCTGTGCCCAATATGTAAGTAGCTATCATAAGTTCATCATCGCATTAATTGCAAATAAATGTACTTATTGTGTGGGAGATTTGTAACACAGGAGTTCGGCGGAAGCATTGGCTGCAGCACATAGCAGGCGAGGAACCTACATCATACTTATATCTTTTAAAGACTAGGTCAGGAATCACACGACACCAGTTTATAGCCCAACAGGTTTATTTGAAAACACAAGCTTTCAGAGTCTTACTCCTTCTTCAGTTATTAGTGAGAGAGGTAGTATCAGACACAGAATTTATAAGTAAAAGATCAAAAGGTCACTCCACTGATGAGGATGTACTAAACAAACCTAAGATGCTGTTAAATCTTTAATCAGTTAGAAGGTTCTAATTGATTAATATATATATGTAAATCCATGAATTCCTTTCCAGTCACTGTCCTGAGAGAACTAAAGGTTTTATCAGTGTAAAGAAGAGGTGACATTATGTGTATGTGTGTGTGTATGTATGTGTGTGTATGTGTGTGTATATGTGTGTGTTTGTTTAAGCAGACTTTGGGATACAAAACAACGCAGTCACCGAGCAGAGGCTGAGAGCCAAGTTCCGTACCCATGGGTACGGCCTCAACTGGGACCTTGGGTTCGTGTCACACTACAGGTGACCCCCACCACACTGTACACTCTCTCTCCCACACACACACACACTCTCTCACACATACACACACACACACACACCCACAGACACACACACACACACACACACACTCTCTCTCTTTCTCTCTCTCTCTCCCTCACACATACACACTCCCTGTCCCTCCCCTCTCTCACGCACTCATACAGTGTGTTTTCAATTCCTGTGCCAGCTGAGGTTACCATGAGGAATTATCCTTCTCAAGTTCTCCCCCCGACTGAGGCATGGTGACCCTCAGGTTAAACCACCACCAGTCGTCTCTTAAATGAGAGAGCATCCCTATGGTCCTGGAAAGCAGGGTTGACATTCTGGGTCCCTTCTGCTTTCTCTTCATGGATGCTGCCAGAGCTGCTGAGTTTTTCCAACAATTTCTGATTGTGTTTTTGACCTTGAAAATGTCTGCTGATTGGTAAGATTCAACATGGATTTCTAAAGGATTGATCATATCTGATAAACCCAAGTCAATATTTTGATGAGGTGACCTTTTTTCCTTCTTCTTTATTCTTTCATGGGATGTGGGTGTTACTGTGTTCCCCGTCCCTAATTACGCTTGAACTGAGACAACAAGGTGCAGAGCTGGATGAACACAGCAGGCCAAGCAGCATCATATTCAATTTTTACCCTTGAACTGAGAGGCTTGCTGCACCATTTCAGAGGGCAGTTAAGATGACTGTGGAGGCTTTATCTTTATTCCAGGTTAGTTAGCCAGATTTTTGATAGACAAAGGACTGAAGGATTATGAACGGCAGACAGGAAAGTGGAGTCAAGAGCAAAATCATATCCGCCATTAGCTCATCAATTGGCAGAGCAGGCTGGAAGGACCAAATGACCTCCTCCTCCTAACCCTCTGTGCCCTTGTATAAATTCTACAAAGATTCATTGATTTAAGATCAATTTCTATTTCTGCTGAGGGACAAACTGCAAATAGTTTTGCAATCGTTGACAACATTAGCTCTGAGTTCAAAGTTTAAGAGTCATTAGAGTTTATTCATTATGCAAGTGAGGTATGACATTATAATTCAGTTAGTTCTTTTTGAGTTCTAGATAGATTGTACACAGTCCATACCTGTATTTCATAGATTGTACATAGTCATAAATGTTATTGGTGTGGACTTTACATGATCTATATGTGATCAGCATAGGCACAGGGCCATCCTAAAATGTATGTGAGCAAAATAGCCCTGATGAAGAAAAGAATAGTATAGTTAAAATAAAAAATTGTTGTACCAGATCCTTTCTATTGCAGTGTTTGAAAGAAATAGGTGAGAACATTATAGATGTTCCAAGTTTAATCGTACAAAGTTATCTTGATTCAGGAAATTCAGGAAGCCTGCAGATTGGAAAATTGTGCATTTCACCCCAGTCTTCAGGAAATCTGAAGAAACAATTCCAGGGAATTGTTGACCGGTTAGCTGATATGTGTTGACAAGAAATTACTAGAACGTCTAATGAAGGATAGAATGAACATGTTGAAAGCTTCAAACGAGAAAATCAAAGAACTATGGATGCTAGAAATCAGAAACAAAATCAGAAATTGCTAGAAAAACTCAGCAGGTCTGGCAGCATCTGTGGAGAGAAAGCAGAGATAACATTTCCTGCTTTCTCTTCATGGATGCTGCCAAACCTGCTGAGTTTTTCTAGCAATTTCTGATGGTGTTTTTGACCTTGAAAACGTTAGCTAATTGGTAAGATTCAACATGGATTTCTAAAGGGTTGATCATACCTGGTAAACTTGAGTGAATATTTTGATGAGGTGACCTTTTTCCTTCTTTATTCTTTCATGAGATGTGTGTGTTACTGTGCTCCCCATCCCTAATTGCTCTTGAACTGAGTGGCTTGCTCCACCATTTCAGAGGGCAGTTAAGAGTCAACAACGTTGATGTGGGATTGGAGTCATAGAAAAGCAGACCAGGGTAAGGATGGCAAGATTCCTTCTGTAACTCCGCAAAACACTTTGTTGTCACTTTTACTCAAATCAGCATCGTATTTTTAAAGGAGAATCCACCTGCTCTGGTCTATTAGTTGATCTGACCTTCCATCCATTGACTCCATTTATACTTCTCATTGCCTCATGAAAACAACCAACTTAATCAAACACCTCTCAAACCCCAGGTATACTCTCTTCCACCCTTTTCCATAGGGCAGAAGGTACAAAAGTTTGAATACACAAACCAGCAGATTCCATAACAGCTTCTTTCCCACTGTTATTAGGCTGAACAGACCTTTCAATTTCTAATGTTGATCTCTCTCTGCACCTTTTCTGTGGCTAGAACACTATATTTTGCAATATGTTCTGTTACTGTGATGTACTTTGTATGGAGACTTTGTATGGAATGATCTGCCCTTATTGCACATAAAACAATACTTCTCTCAGTATCTCAGTACGTGACAATAATAAACCAAACCAAATCAAATCAGTTTACACTTGATCTCCCCGCTATAGAAAAGATGTTGTTAAACTCGAAACGGTTCAGAAAAGATTTACAAGGATGTTAAATAAAAACCAAAAGAACTGCGGATGCTGCATATCAGGAACAAAAACAGAAGTTGCTGAAAAAGTTCAGCAGGTCTGGCAGCATTTATGAAGAAAAAAATCAGAGTTAACGGTGACCCAAAACGTTAACTCTGATCTTTTCTTCACAAATGCTGCCAGGCCTGCTGAGCTTTTCCAGCAACTTCTGCTTACAAGGATGTTGCTGGAGTTGGAGGGTTTCAGCTATAGGGAGATTCTGAATAGGCTGGGGCCATGTTCCATGGAGCATTGGAAGTTGAGAGATGATCTTATAGAAGTTTGTAAAATCATGAGAGGCGTGGATAGGGTGAATAGCCAAGGTCTTTTCCCCAGGGTAGGGGAGTCCAAAACAAGAGGGCATATGTTTAAGGTGAGACAGGAAAGATATAAAAGGGACCTACAGGGCAACTTTTTCACACAAAGGGTGGTGCATGTCTGGAATGAGCTGCCAGAGGAAATGATGGAGGCTGGTGCAATTATAACATTTAAAAGGCATCTGGATGGGTATATGAATAGGAAGGTTTCAAAGGATAGGGCACAATTGGACCAAAGGGTCTGTTTCCATGCTGTACAACTCTATGACTCAATGACTTTCAAGAACACAACCAACGCCCAAGTCTTTTTTTGCAGCATTTCTCCTAACTATTATATGGTATTCCAACAGAAGTTCTATTTTACTTGTAACAGTGTAATTGAAGCATATCCAACGCGGAATCGTATAAAGTTCTTGGTGGACAATGTTGAAACCACTTTGAGTAATGAAGAAAAGGTCATACAAAGTGAGTAATTCTTTTACAAGTGATGAAAATTGTACCTTTTCTAACGTAATGCAGTATTGGGCAATTAGAACTATGGACACAGCTATCATTGAGTAATGATTAATAGCAAATTGAAAATTGTATGAAGTTTCCAGAATAGAAATTTAGTGCAGAATGTGATTCATTTGAGAGGACCAAAAGAACTGCAGATGCTGTAAATCAGGAGCAAAACCATAAGTTGACAGAAAAGCTCAGCAGGTCTGGCAGCATCTATGAAGAAAAATCAGAGTTAACGTTTCGGGTCCAGTGACCCTTCCTCAGAAGAAAGATAATGAAATCAGGAAAAGGAGCAACTCACCCAGGTTCCTTGGACAGTACCTTCCAAACCCACAAACTCGACTACACATAAGGACAATGGAAGCAGATATATAGGAAAATCACCTGCAAGTTCTCCTTCAAGAGACACATTGTTCTGTCTCAGAACTACAATGACCTAAGGGGAACCCATTCACAGAACATCAGAATTGAAGAAAGTCATATCGGACTCAAAACGTTGGCTATTTCTTTCTCAGCAGATGGTGCCCGACCTGTTGAGTTTCTTCAGCATTCTCTGTGTTTATTTCAGAATTCCAGCATCCACAACGTTTTACTTTTATAACATTCTGTTCACCTCTGTCATAAAAATATTCCACAGTCCAGCCTCTACACCTTCTGAGGCAGAGCATTCCAAGGCTGCTCTGAAAAGAAAGAAATTCACCTTATCTCCATCCGAAAAGGTCTTCCTAATTTCAAACAGGTATCCCCAGGCCTGGACACACTGACAAGAGAAATCATCCTTTCCATGTCTCAACTCTTCAGGCTCTTATACAATGTAGTTGTCTCCCCAGTACTCTTCTAAACTCCAGTGGATTCAAGCCCAGTCTGCCCAAACTTTCCTCAAAAGACTCCCTGCTCATTCCAGCTATCAATCTAGTAAGCCTCCTCTCACCTGCTTCCAGTGCATTTCCATCCTTCCTGTGTCTGATATGGTCAATCCACATATTATCAGGGTTGCAATCATCTTCTCACAGGACACTTGTAAGTTCTTTGTCATGTTACAGCATTAGTATAGTAGCAGCACATTATCTATAGAGCTTGCCAGAAGATCAAATGTCGACTTGAACAATCTTTTTGTTCCAGATGTACATGCTTGGCAGAATGGGACAGGAATTATTTTAAAAGCATCATCAATCAATATTGAACAATTGTTCTTTGATGGAAACACTGTGCAGGTATCTCTCATTAATTCACAGGTTCCAGCTGTAAATGTAACCTGTATGTGCAGTAGTTCAATGTAAATTAATTCTGGAAGCTTTTATAATACTGCATGCAGTTCTGGTCTCCCTGCTATAGGAAAGATGTTGTTTAACTTGAAAGCATACAGAAAAGATGTACAAGGATGTTGCCAGCATTGGAGGGTTTGAGCTATAGGGCGAGGCTGAATAGACTGGGGTTATTTTCCCTGGAGCGTCGGAAGCTGAGGGGTGACCTTATAGAGGTTTATAAAATCATTAGGAGCATGGATAGTGGGAATAGCCAAGATCTTTTTTCCAGCATAGAGGAGTCCAAAACTAGAGGGCATATTTTTAAGGTGAGAGAGGAAAGATATAAAAGGGACCTAAGGGGCAACTCTTTCAAGCAGAAGGTGGTGCGTGTATGGAATGAGCTGCCAGAGGAAGTGGGGAGGCTGGTAAAATTACAACATTTAAAAGGCATCTGGATGGTTAAATGATTAGGAAGTGTTTAGAGGGATATGGGCCAAATGCAGGCAAATGGGTAAAATTAATTTAGGATATCTGGTCGGCATGGAGAAATTGGACCAATGGGTCTGTTTCCGTGCGGTACAGCTCGATAACTCTAATGAGCTTTGCCTTTGTATGTAGATTATACTCGATCACATGATGAGTAAGACATGTGGTATTTGTGGGCTCAATAATGGTGAGAAAAAGCTGTTGATGCCAAATCAAGAGGAGGCCAAAGATGTCGAATGCCTTTTTGAATCATGGACATGTCCAGGGCAAACCTGCAAAGATGGTAAGAGAATATCAACTCTTTTTAAATCATGTTAATTTCATCCATCTCTACAACCTCTACAAGTTCTCTGCGCTCCTCCCATTCTGGCCTCGAGAGTATCCCCAATTTCCAAGATTCCACCATTAGTAGCTGTGCCTTCCGCTGTCTGGGCCCTAAGTTCTGGAATTCTCTCCTGAACCTTCTTTATCTTACTTCCCTCTTTTAAGGCATTCCTCAAATGACTCTATGATTGAGCTTTTACTCAAGTGCTGTGGCATTTCCTTGAATGGCTCCAGGTTTGATCCATTTTGTCTCAAAACCATGAAATTATCTTCCTGTTCTCAACAACAATAAATCACATTTTATTGAATTTCAGATTGCAAAGTTAGAAGAACATTTGTGGAACTAGGAAAACTTGTCAAGTTTGAAGGACAGGAATCCAGATGCTACTCAGTCGAACAAGTTCAACGTTGCCTGGAAGGGTGTTCACCAATTGAAACACTCTCTCGCATTGTCAATTTCCACTGTGTACCAGCTAGTAAGTCTATAGTGCTAATATATATATAAACCAAATAAATATCTAATTTATCCTGTCAGGAACACAAAAAGTTAATTAATAGTTAATTCTATTTATTATTGTATAAATGGGTAGAAAGAATTGATCCCAATGGATACAAGAGTATGTCTGCAGGTCCTACTGTAGTGGCCACATTGCTTTACACAGTGACAGTTTGGAAAATCTGGGTGACAAGTGGTAGAGCCCTGCTGTAGGAGAGCATGTGTGGAGATTTGGGAAGACAAGAAGAGAGAAAGATCACACTGACCAGCTTCAAAAGCACTGGATCAGCAATAACAAGGATGTAAACTTTGAAACGAAAGCAGAAATTGCTGGGAGAAACTCAACAGGTCTAACAGCATCTGTGGAAGGAGAAAGTGGAGATGACATTTTGAGTTCGGTTAACCTCTCTCAGCTCTTCTTCTTTTCCTGTTCTGAGGAAGGATCACTGGACTCAAAATGTTAACTCTGCCTTCTCCCTTCAAAGATGCTGCCAGACCTGATGAGTTTCTACAGCAGTTTATGTTTTTGTTTCAGATCTCCATCTCTTCTTGTCTTCCCAAATCTCCACGCAGTTCTTTGTTTCATTTTAAAATCATAGACTGGTAGCAGGATGGAAGGAGGCCATTGTACCCAGCATACCTGGTTATCATTAAGAACAACCCAGCTAACCCCACACTAGCCCTTTTCCCTGTAACACTGAAAAAGATGTTCTGTTTAGATAATTATCTGCAGTCATCTCTGGTTCTTAGTTTATCTTCCAGTCAGCAAATACCAACACCTTGGATGTTTTAAAATGAGTCAAGCTCAGGAATTGGATTGTACTGTTACCACAGAGTGGGAGAAACTATAATCTTAGCATCTGGTTTGGTCTCCTCCATCAGACGATACTCCCATTAAAATTAAGCATGTCCATTGCAACTCAGTAATCAGTCGGACAGGTTTTGCAGGGCCAAAACTCATTTTGAGAGTGGCTATCGGCTATTTTCTAAAGAAAAATATTGACATAAAAGCTCAGAGATAGCAAGAACTGTAGATACTGGAGTCAGAGACAACACAGTATGGTGCTGGAGAAACACAGCAGGCCAGGCAGCGTCAGAGGAGCAGGAAAGTTGGCGTTTTGGGTCGGGTCCCAACCCGAAATGTCAACTTTCCTACTCCTCTGATGCTGCCTGTCCTGCTGTGTTCCTCCAGCTCCACACTGAGTTGACATAAAAGCTGTCATGCAAGGACAAATCTGCAGGACTTAGGGCAAACAAGGATGGTTAGGGTTCAGATTCAGTAGCTCTTTCAAAGAATTGAAACAGGCATGATGGGTTATATGGCCTCTCTCAGTATAAAAGGAAACAATGAGAAACTGAGAGCCAGAGATGTTTGATGTATTATAAATTACACTCACACGTGGAAGCAAGTACTCCTTTTAACCTAATCCTGCTCAAACTTAAACATGTCTTAATTTAATAACAGATCACTCCGTGAATGCAGCTGCTATGTTAAGTTTCTGGAAGAAGTCTGCAGATAAGAGCCTCTCTGTGGATTCCCATACTGACTGCGTGTGTGACTGTGCCGAAGTGTAACCCCATTAATCAATGTTACCAAAACCTCAACTGTAACAGTTATGAATGTGAGACTTTTTGTTATATCAATTCTTTTTAAAAACAATCTTAACTCTTGTTGAAAGCCGTACAATTCATTATTCCTGACTATCAGTTATAGCAATAAACCTTTAATTTTTGATTGATTGATTTGATTTATTGTCACATGTACCTAAGTACAGTGAAAAGCTTTGTTTGTGAGCAGTACAGGCAGATCATAGTAAGCAAGGACATACAGATCATAGGGTGCAAAAAATCTTGGACAGAGTAAGGCATACAGGTTACACCACACAGGACATGCACGAGGCAAGATCCACATTAACAAGATCAGCATTATTTGAAGTTAGAGAATCCATTTATCAGTCTAATAACAGCAGGGAAGAAGCTGTTCTTGAACCTGTTGGTGTGTGTGTTCAAGCTTTTGTATCTTCTGCCTAACAGAAGAGGTTGTAGGAGATCGTTACCAGGGTGGGAGGGGTCTTTGATGATACCGGTAGCCTTTCCATGGCAACTAGAAGTCTAAATGGAGTCCATAGATGAGAGGTTCGGCTCCGTGATGGTCTGGGCTGTAGTTTCTTGTGGTCCTGGGAAGAGCAGTTGCTGTTATGCCCCCAGGACGGTATGCTTTCAATGGTACATCTGTAGAACTTGGTGAGGGACCTTATGGATATGCCAAATTTCCTGAGCCGCCTGAGGAAGAAGAGGCGTTGTTGTACCTTCTTAACTGTCACAAATATGTGGGAAGTCCAGGACAGGTTGTTAGTTATCGTCATTCTTAGGAACTTGATGTTCTCAACCCTCTCAACATCCATTCATTGATGCAGTTTGGGGTGTGCTCTCCTCCTTTCTTTCTGAAGTCAATGATCAGTTCTTTAATTTTGAGAGAGAGGTTGTTATCATTGCACCACATCACCAAGCCTACTATCTCCTTTCTGTATTCTGACACATTGTTGTTTGATATCCATCCTACCACAGTGGTGTTGTCAGCAAACTTGTAGATAGCATTCATTCAGAATTTGGTTACAGAGTTGTGAGTCTACAGGGAGTACAGTACGGGGCTGAGGACATATCCTTGGGAATATCTAGTGCTGAGTGTTATGGTGGAGGGGGTGCAGTTACCTATCCTCACAGATCGCAGTCTGTGGGTCAGAAAGCTGAGGATCCAGTTGCAGACAGTAGAGCCGAGAAACTAGGTCCCGGAGTTTTGAGATCAGTCTGGAGGGGATAATGATGTTGAAGGCGGAACTGTAGACGATGAGCTGGAGTCTGATGTAGGTGTCTTTGTTGTCCATATTCCAGGGATGAGTGCAGGCCTAGGGAAATAGTGTCCGCTCTGAACCCTTTACTTTGGTAAACAAATTGCAGGGAATCGAGACAGGCTGGGAAACTGGAGTTAATGTGGGCCATGACCAGCCTCTCGAAGCACTTCTTGATTATTGAAATCAGATCCACTGGGTGGTAGTCATTAAGGCAAGTTGCATGTGCTTTCTTAGGTGCGGGGATGATGGTGGTCTTCTTGAAGCAGGTGAGGACTTCGGTTGTGGGAGGGAGAGGTTGAAGATGTCAGTGAATACCTCCGCCAGTAGGTTCACACAGGATCTGAGTGCTCGCCTGGGATACCATCCGGGCCCATCGCTTTCCTTGGGTTGACTCCCAGGAAGATCAATCTGACGTCTGCAGCGGTGACCGAGGGAATAAGTGTGTCTGGTGCTGTCAGGGCAGGTGACACCGCGCCGCTGGCATTCTCCTCGAACTGAGCATTGAGAGCATTGAACGCATCAGGGATGGATGTGGAAAAGTGGAGTTAATGAAAGTATGTTGATTATTTACTTGCCTGTTTTATTGTTTACTCTTGGGGAGATGGTGGCATCATGGAAATGCTGATGAGCTTGCATTCCAAAACTGTGGGTTAATGTTCTGAGGACATAAGTTTGAATCTCATCACGGCAGATGGGGAAATTGAATCCAATATAAAAAAAAAGTCTGGAAATTAAAGTCAGCTAGTCTAAGGTGACCGTGTAATCATTTTCAATAATTATAAAAACCTATCTGGTTTACCAACATCCTTTAGGGAAGGAAATCTTCCATCCTTACCTGATCTGGCCCACATGTGACTCCAGACACAGAGTATATGACAGACTCTTAACTGCCCTCTGGACAATTAGGCATGGGCAATAAATGCTGCCTAGTCAGTGGGGCCCTCATCCCATGAACAAATAAAAAGAAACTCGCATTTTCCAGCCAGAACCTGAACACAAAACTCTAAAGTGACATTCTAGTGTCATACTGAGGGAGTGCTACACTGATTGATGTGCATTTTTAAAGATGAGATGTTAAGCTGAACGCTCAACTGTCTTATCAGGTTGACATAAAAGATAACTTGACATGATTTTTGAAGAAGAGCACGGAGAGATATCCCCTGGTGTCCTGCACAATATTTGACCATCAAACAACATCACGAAAGAAAAGCAGATTATTCGGTCATCACGTTGTTGTTTGTGGAGGCTTGCTGTGTGTAATTTGGCTGCCATGTTTCTTATATGACCACAGTCATTACATTTATGAAGTAGTTTATTAGTTTAAAAGTGCTTTGAGAGAGATCTGATCATTGTGATGTGCGCAATGAAATTGTCTTTCTGTTGTGCTTTGGTGCTGTCAGAAAGCAGAGAGGATGTTTCCCCTTCTAGGACAATCTAGAATGAGAGGTCATTGTTTTAGGATAAAGGCCTGCAGATTTAAAACAGATATGAAGAGAAATTACTTCTCTCAAAGGGTCATGAATCTGTGGATTTCACTCACCCAGAGTGCAGTGGCTGCTGGGACTTTGAGTAAATTTAAGGACGAGACAGAGAGATTTTTAATTAGTAATAGGTTGAAGGGTTATGGACATTAGGTAGAAAAGTGGAGTTGAGGCCGAAATGAGATCAGCCATGATTGGATTAAATGGAGCAGACTCAAGGGGCTGAATGGCCTACTCCTGCTGCTAGTTCTTATGGTCTCATGTTTTTATAAGAACACTGACTAGTTACTCGACAATCCAGAATATTGTTCTGTGAATCCTTTGAATCTCTTTTTGTATAAATTGTCCTCAATAAAAAGAATAACAATAACATCTTGTATCTCTAAAGCAACTTTAACATATAATAAACCATTCCAAGGTAAGACCATAAGAAATAGGAACAGGAGTAGGCCACTCGGCCCCTCAAGCCTGCTCCACCATTCAATAGAACCCTGGCTGATCACATCCACTTTCCTGTATTTTTCCTTAACCCTTGATTACCCAACTGATCAAAATTCTACCTATCACAAGAATTCTGTCCCCACAGCTCTCTGCGGCAAGAAATTCCAAAGACTCTCAACCCTCTGAGAGGGGAAATTCCTCCTCATCTCAGTCTTAAATTGGCACCTCTTTATTCTGAGACTGTGCCCTCTGGTCCTAGATTCTCCCATGAGAAAGATCCTCTCAGCATTTACCCTGACAAGACCCTTAAGAACCCTATATGTTTCAATGAAATCATCTCTCATTCTTCTAAACTCCAGTGAGTAGAGTCCGAAACTGTTTAGCCTTTACTCATCAGTCAATCCTTCTATCCAGGGTTCATCCTAATTAACCTTCTCTGAGCTGCCTTTAATGAAATGATGTATTTTCTTAAATAAGGGGATCAAAACTGCTCACATATTCCAGATGTGGTCTCACCAGCACCTTGTACAGTTGCAGTAAGACATTCCTACTCTTATACTCCAACCCCATTGAAATAAGGGCCAACATTTTCTCCTCACAGGCCGCATAGATAGGTTGAAGCGGCAGTTAGATGCACTTAGGAGCATGGGGGACGGATGCGGAAAGCATCATTGACAGGAGTTTTAGAGATATGGTGACACCCAAGGTGCAGACAGATAGATGGGACAGGCAACCAGCGCAGGAATCCCCTGTGGTTGTCCCCCTCTCTAACAAGTATACCGTTCTGGGTACTGTTGTGGGGGGAGGGGATGACCTATCAGGGGGTAACAGCAGCAGCAGGCAGACTGGTGGCACCACAGCTGGTTCTGTTCTTAAGAAGGGAAGGACAAAGAGCACTAGACCAGTAGTTATAGGGGACTCTACAGTTAGGGGTACAGATAGGCGCTTCTGTGGATGTAAAAGAGACTCCAGGATGTTATGCTGCCTCCCTTTTGCCAGGTTCCAGGATGTCTCTGAATGGGCAGAAAGGATTCTGAAGTGATAGGGTGAACAGCCACAGGTTGTGGTACATATCTGCACTAACAACATGGGTAGGATGAGTGACAAGGTCCTGCAGCAGCAGTTCAGGGAATTAGGTAGAAAGTTAAAAAGAAGGACCTCCAAGGTTGTAATCTCAGGATTACTCTCTGTGCCATGTGCCAGTGAGGTTAGAAATAGGAACATAGTACAGCTCAACGCATGGCTAAATGGATGGTGTAGGAGGGAGGATTTCAGATATCTGGACCATTGGGATCTCTTCCAGGACAGGTGAGACCTGTACAAGAAGGATGGGTTGCATCTAAACTGGAGGGACACAAATACTCTGGCTGAGAGGTTTGTTGATGTCACTCGGGAGGATTTAAACTAGCTTGGCAGGGGTGTGGGAATCAATGCAAAGGTGAATGACTGAAAGGGAACTAGAGAATCGGGCCGGTAGGACTCGGAGGAAGAGTAGGCAGGGTGTGGTTGCTGATCAAAGCGGATCTGGTGGACTGAAGTGTATCTGTTTCAATGCGAGAAGTGTAACAGGTAAGGCAGATGAACTTAGAGCTTGGATTAGTACTTGGAACTATGATGTTGTTGCTATTACAAAGATTTGGTTAAGGGAGGGACAGGACTGGCAGCTTAACGTTCCAGGATACAGATATTTCAGGTGGGATAGAAGGGGATGTAAAAGGTGTGGGGGAGTTGCACTACTTGTTAAGGTGCATATCACAGCTGTACTGCGGGAGGACACCTTGGATGGCTCATACAGCAAGGCATTATGGGTAGAGCTCAAGAACAGGAAGGGTGCAATCACAATGCTTGGGGTTTACCATAGGCCTCCCAACAGCCAGCAGGAGATAGAAGAACAGATATGTAG